CAAGAATATATGAACTATATATCTATCTTGTACACTAGACTATCACCACATCAGATATAAAGTAATAGAAGTTCTAGATAGTCATAACTACTGTCTTGACACATTATCAGAAATTCATGATGTATTTCATATAAGCTTGTTCTGCTGCACTATCACTGATCTGTTCTCTTCTCAGCTAATGTCTGACTGGCAGCTGCCAGGCATCATAGAAGAAGATAATGAGCTTGAGTGAGAGATTGAAGATATTCTTAATGAGAGATCCCACAGCTGCAGCTGATAATATCTTGTGAAATGAGTCAGCTACAATCAATCAACCTGAACTCTGAGTTCTGTGTTATCTGAAACAGCAGCTCTTGATCAATGAGAACTGCTTCTGAAAAGAGAGGACTAATGTGATGAGCTGCATCTGATCAATTATATAGACTATTTTATTACACTTCATAGATTCTTTCATTTCTGATCACTGATCCGCGGCTGCTATGAACATGTGTAGTATACACTCTGATTCTCAGTCATTTCTGATCACTGATTCTCAGCTGCTATGAATATGTGTAGCATACACTCTGATTCTCAGTCATTTTCAATCACCAATCCTCAGCTGCTATGAACACACATATATTCTTCCACCCCGAAGCTCCACCGCGTACACCATCACATACATGTATAAATATTCACCTTGATCACTGATTCTCACACTTTCTCTTTCTTTTCTTCTCTAATGTTTTTATCTTTGTTATATAAGACCTATCAATATTATACTGATCTATTCGGCGTAGGCCTCTTACATCTGTGAACATTATCTCAGATAAAGAATTAATCTTCACAGAAGAGTTCTGATCTGATCTGATAACTATACTGAAGATCTTATAAGATCTAAGTATAACTTTTTATTAATAGATAGATAATCAGATAGAACATCTGATGAGTATATTAAAACAGTATCTGTGATACTTTATTAATTATAATCAGAATGACTGAGTATATTAATTATTATTTACAGAGTTTATATACAATAACTCAAAACATATCAGTACAGATAAAACTCTCTTTGAGATACTTACTAAGACTTATCTGCAGATGATCTTAATAAACTCATAAGAGTACACTATAGAGTGTGATAATGTCTGTGAACAGGCTGAGAGAATTCAGAAGATCTGAGAGAAAGTCTGTAAATCTCTGAGAAAGACTCAAGAGTATCAGAAGAGATACTATAACTTCAAGTATATTATAAAGAGTTTCAAGAAAGATGATAGAGTCTGACTGAGTCTAGAAAACATTATTATATGAAGATCTAGCAAGAAGCTGAATCTCTTACAGATAGAGTCTTATAAGATTATGAAGAAAGTTAGTTTACAGTTCTACAGATTAAAACTGTCATCTGAGTTACAGATATATAATGTTTTTTATATCTCTTTACTCTGTGAATATAAGGAATTCTTAGAAGAGAATTCTGTGACTAGACTGACCGTGTGACCGTGTCTGAGACCAGGACCAGATTTTTTGATAGTTTCATTGCCAATTCAACTGATCCCATTACACGGTTTTAACATTAGATAGTAGTCTCATACTGTCTCAGTGAGACTTACTGTCTACTCTTGTCACATTTTTCAAATGAGACCATGATTTTCACTTCTCAATTTAAATTATTTTTATTGCTTTAAATGACTTTAAATCTCATTTGAGTGTTACCAAAAAGCATTACTTTTTAAAAAATTAAAAATAGTCTAAAAAAAACCTTAAAATGTCTAAAAATAGTAACTTTATGTCAAGAATGGGACTAAATGAGACTAAATGAGATCACTTTCTCATTTTTTTCAAGTCATGGTTTCATTTTAAGATCTGATATATAGTCACTTTACATGTTTTTTTGATAGCCAGTCCCAGCGGGATTCACGCCAAGAAATGTATGAAATCAGACCAAATGAGACCAAATGTGAAATTCATAATCTCAGCGGCCAGTCTATCTGTGACTCATCACTCTGTTTATAAAGTATTAGAGAGTGAAAGAGAATATCAGATTAAAGAGATTATTAACTCAGAGAAGTGAGATTATGAGCTCTGATTCAAGGTTCAGTGATAAGAATATTCTGATAAGATGAATAAGTTCACTTAAGAATTATCTGAGCAGATAAGATATCTACAGAAGCTGAGACATGACTTTCATACTGTAAATTCTGATAAGTCAGAATAATACAGTCTTCACTAAGAATCTGATTGTGATAAAGATATTAACACTGTTATTTGTAAATTCTAGTCTATAAAATAATGAGTTTCTACTGAGATGAACAGTCTGCAGTGTATATAAGAAAAGAAGAAATCATATTCTTATTAAAGTTAAAAAATAAGAAAATAAACAGAGCTGTGAACACAATTTAGAGATTAATAAAGAAAAAATAAAGAAAACTCACACTCATATTCTTAATATCTATAACACTCAATTCTCTCACAACTATTAATTTCTCTCTTTAAAGAAGCAGAGAGTATTATATCTACAGTACAGATAATTATTATATTTAATATAAAGACTGTCAGAAATGCACAGACTTCAGAGAAGCTGAATATCAGAGTGTATACAGTTGCAGCAGAGCCTTGAGAACTGACTGTCTATATATGTAATCAGATATCTCTTATAAAGCTGTGTCTGCTCTTTCAGTTATACTAAAGTATTCAGCTTAGAAATAATTAAGATGCAGAGAGAGAGCTTATCTACTCAGATCAACTCTTATTATAAATTCATGACATTTATATTATCTTGATTACTCAGATTTTACAGATACTCAGAAACTCATCTCTTATTAATAATAAGATTGTGAAAATGTGCTGCAGTGTAAGAATCATTGATAATAAATCTAGACATATTCATATATATCTGATCAGAGATTGTGTGAGTAGAAAAGAGATAATTATAGATCTGCAGAGCTGTAGAAGATACTGATAACACTGAGAGCTTTATAAGAACTGTTAACTAGAGTCTGTAAGAAATTACTTATAAGAAGACTTACAGTAAAGAAAGAGACTATACTACTTAAAGTTAGAGACTGATCTGAAAGAGATATGAAATGAGTTACTGATCTGAAGATCAGATGAAGTGACAGAGCTGAGAGAGATAAAGACACAGTTATAAGCAGCAGTATTTCTGCTTCATCAGTCAGTAAAAAGTGATTAGAGAAGTCACAGAAACACTTATAAGAAGCTTAACAGTGATCAGATATTATTTATAAAGATATTAAAATTAAAAATTTTTATTCTTAAGAAGTTCTTGAATTAATATATGAATATTGTCAGAAATACACTCTCTCTATTATCTGAATAAAAACACTTCACAGATAAATGAGAATACTCACAGTTTATAAGAATAAAAGCTGTTACAGAAAAAGAGAAAAGAAGATAAGATTTCATAGATAGATCTGAAATATTTATACTACTTTAGAGAGATTTACTTACACTGTGAGTGATTCTATAAAATAGTCAGATCACTCTAATAAATAAGAGTGATTATGAATTACAGATCTGAATCTTTCTATATAACTATAAAGAGTGATTATAGACTGTGAATATCTTAATTCTATAATTCTATAGAGTTAATGAAAGAATGAAAAATTTCTCACAATTCTACAGTATTAAAGAATAATGATTTATAAGAATAAGTGAAAGATTAACTTATAAATACTTCTCTTTAATGAGAGTAATCTTACAGAGAGTGATTTATCTATGAGATGAATTTATATAATAATTACATAAGAATTTTATAAAAATAATTAAGAGTTAACTGAAACTCTTCTATATAAAAGATATAAGATGAATCTGTGTGATAGTCAGAGAAGAATCTGTAGATTATAAAGAATCTTACAGAATAAGAAACTGAGTGACAGACTCTTTTCTCTTTATAATAATAAGGAATTTTTTCTCACTGAGATTTTTATAGATGTGAAGAGTTTTTAGTGAGTATCACTGCAGTGCTGAGCTGATTCTATGAAGTCACTCAGTGAAAGACTTTATGAATAAAGTCTTAGAGAGAAGAGAATATATAAGAAATTTCACTTCTTACAGATTCTTTATCTCTATTTCTATCTCTTATATAATTAATAGAGCTAGTGACTCTTGACTACATATAACTATATAGACTGAAGTTCATGAATACTATTTATAACTCAGCTTGAATGCTATTATACATTTAATCTCTACATTTTATCTTTCTACTGTGAATACTTCTAGTAGTTAACAGTACATATCACGCCAAGCTGCAAACACTCAAATAATCGCCTGTGAGCACTTATTCTTACACAGTATAAGAAGTTATTATCTTTATTATTTAAGTAAGTCTATACTATAAATTCAAGTATAAATTAGTAATAAGCTGATATATAATTACATAACTGAATCATCAATCTCAAGAATAAGAAGAAGAAGATAGAGAAGATGATAAAGAAGATGAAGAAGAAAACAGAGATAAAGAAAAGAGAGAAGAAGAAGAAGAAGAAGAAGAAGAAGAAGAAAAAGAAAAAAAAGTCTGTTATAGTTATTAAGTAGAATTTCTCTCTCTATAAATAATCTACTGCTACTGTTACAGTCTCAGCTCACTTTATTAAATGTTATATCAGAGATGATAGTGTCAAGTTACTTGATATCAAAGAAGTTAAGATTGAATATCTGTACTATGAGAATATCTCTCTTCAGAGAAAATTGAATCATTTTCAGCATCTCTTAAAAATAACTGTTGAATTTATCAAAGATGATTAGATAGCTTACAGACTGAGCTATACAGATATTATTTTTTTTAAAAAAAATTAGTTATTACAGAGCAATCAAATTGATGATTTATATGATTTATAAAGAAGAATAATGATGATGATGAAAATATTCAATTCTACTATATTGCAGTCTGCCTGTAGAATCGCTGTTTCCTAATACAGACTAGCTCTGTAATAATTAGCACATCAAGGCTCGTGTGCTACAAAAACATTTTATTAAATCTAGTTATTTTTCCCATCATTTCTTTCAGAACTTATATCAAGAAATGTATACGACCTGATCAAATAAGATTAAATGTGAAATTCATGGTTTCACTGGCCAGTTTAATTGATGATCATGTTCACTCTGCTTGAATATCTTTCAGTTGTTAACCTCAGTTTGAATGAAGATTTGGAGGGCATTGAGAAATGGACAGATTTTACCTATGAAAACTTGATTGCTATTTCTAGGCGATGCCCTCACTCAGCCATATCAGTTTGACCCCCCTGCACCAGTTCTACGCTCCGCTTGTGTGTATTCTCAATAAGCCAACTGTTACTGCTGTCCTCTTGAAATGGAATCATACCATTGTCGACTGCGCTCTGGAGCTAGCATCCAAGGCATCAAGTACCATCCCAGCGATGGACTTCAGGCAATCACTCTAGCCTTTGTGGCGAGACAGTTTTGCCGGACTGGGTTGGAATTTATGGGCTTTCCCCCCAGCAATCGGGTTCCGGGTGATACCAAAGTGTCTGGGAAGTGGAACACACAGCAACACGATCACTCAAAACAAGAGGAATTCTATAAACCACTCCGTCAAGTGGTTCACTACGCGAAGCTGTTCAATACCAGATACGCTTATATCATATCAGACAAAGAATTAGTTTGTATTTCGAATATCAGGATGATTGAAACAGAGCACATCAATGTATGCAGTACAACCTTAACGCAGATGTCCCTGGCTTAACTACCTGACTACATTCTGAGTTCGAAATCTCTTGCTAATGCTGCCCAACCCCCTCATCAGGTATGGTGGACTACTGATTCAGTCGAGGAGGCAAAAAAAATTACGTGACGATATAGTCTTTAGCACATGCATTCATACCAGAAGTCCGGCAAGTATCATATACACGAACATGGAAAGAAATGAAGGAGCAGAGCTCTTTATTACATATCCAATCACCTAAATATTGAAACAGGGGGTTCAGACTATGCCAAGCAATGTTTCAGCTCACCCGTCGGTTTTCGCTCCAGCACGGCACGACACCGTTTCCCTTGACCATTCACATATTACACCAGACCACTAACTCATCTCCATTATTCCTTCCCCTTAGGACAGTACCTATTAAACCGGTCCGCGAACTATCAGTGCCAACAACGAATGCGCCACTTCTGCTGCTGCAAGTACCGTTGATTCACCAGCCGTATCATAGATGGGTGCAACTTCAACAACATCGGCGCCGACGACCTGGATTTCGCTCTCTACAAGTGCATCGAGGATTGTGAGAAGTTCACGGGTACTGAATCCCCCAGGCTCCGAGGTTCCCGTTGCTTTGATAGACAAAATTAGCGACAGAAAAATTTAAGACCAAAGATGGCGACAGACGTCCAGCCGAAGAAAGGAAGTTGATTCAAGCACGAAAGGTGGAAAGAATACATACCAGGTGCGAATGCCGGGTCCAAAACGTCAATATCAACACTTATGTAAGCCTTGTTATTCCCGACGCGCTTTTTAATCTTCTCCACTATGCCACTTGTGCCGATGTGGTCAATGTCGCGGGCTGTGATGATGTCGAAACCGCACCGGATATCATTTTCTATGTCTTTTTTGGGCCGCACGACGGGCGCGCGAATGCCGACATGTATGGAGGATGAGTTGAGGACGAGGCCCTGTGACTCGATAGTGTGAGGGGAAAGAATCCCGGGGAGCAGATGTATTACAACAGGCACAATGAAAACGGGAGTATGTCTACTTACCTCCTCATGGGCGATATGAAGGAATGTGCCGTGATTGACACCTCTGGATGTGAATGTGAGTTAAAAGTTGTCAGCGGGATGACTTTTCGCAGGTGCCATAAACTCACGCATAATTTGAAATGCCGCCACCTATGCTCAGATTTAGTTTACGTATTACTATGGCCAAATACAGAGCTGGATATGTGAAAGTGTATGTGTACCTAACACAGAAGGGTCCCATGTGTCTGAAATTTTGCGGAGGGTGTTCCATTAGTCAACGCATTCCTCGGAAATCATGGAATACAGCCCCCTCAACTTCATGTTAGGGTCTCGGAAGTGGGAAAATACCAACCGATATGACTGTCAAAATGAATGACGGCGACTGGGCCCCAATGCTTATATGTTGATCGTAACGCTGGCAGTGTTGTCGTGTGGTCACCACCGAGGGTGATGATGCGAGGGACCCTCGTAACATCAGACGCATTGGCGGGTCGGGATGAAACCACCTGTGGGAAAATGTGAGATCTGGAAACAATGCACGATTACGGTGGAGATGGCGGAGAGCTCTTCTCTCAATCCCAAAGACGTTTGTTGTTCATCACATTGAAAGAAAAAAACTGCCATGCATGGGATTGGACAGGAACCATCTAACGCCAGCTTACAGAGTACAATGAAGCAACTCACCTTATGCGCCTTGTCAAGTTGCTTCAAAGCGACGGTATTATCCAAGAAAGTCAAAGGAACGTCTCCGCAATCAACAATGCTTGCCCAACTCTGGAAGACATTTTCTCCAGTGTAGATACTCCAGGCACCATCTGGTCTAATGCGCTGAGAACCCCGGCGGATTCCTCCCGGACCAAATCTCGCACCAGGACGAGCAGTTACACCCTGTAAATTCGTGAAGAAATCAATAAACAATCAGTAATATAAATTGCAAATCTACCAATGTAGCCGGTAGAGACAATATTGTTCACTTGTGGCAGAGCTTGCGCATACCGTATCAAAAGGGGCACCCATAAACGCAATATCATATCGTTGCTTCTCTGCTTCGCTATCCACAAAGCAATTGACATATGGTACATTTGCGAAGGTCATCAGCCCGGAGAACTGACTGCCAGACACAATATCGATGGTATTCTCCAGTCCAAGCGGTGCTTGTGACGCGGAGCCATGAATGGCTGCAACTGGAGGAAACACAATGTCTGCAGCTCGGTTTAACTCCGCCAACAGCTGGAGCAGAAACAGGGAATGGCGCATGTTCCTCGCGGGCGAAAAATGATAGATTATGAAAGATGAGATACCTCGTCGAAGTAGAGTTGGATACTGAGCGGGTATGCGGAGTTTACCTGTTCCTTAATGAGAGAGCCATGTAGTTAACTTGGAGACGATAGCAAGCTACGCTGAGGCACAGGTGGAATGTCTACTTCTTGGTTAACTAGTTGATTTCTGCCGCCGAATTTCGGGTGCCCAATCATTTTAGAACTTACGGTGATGAGTATCGGCAACTTGATGATACAGAGCAGTTAAAGGGGACAAGATCAAATGATGAACTTTTGGTTATGTGTTTTTGAATATACACGGAACCTCAACCTCAGCGGCAAGGTTACATTTTCGTCATTCGATGATGAGACACTTGTGCTAATACTGCGTATATATTCGGAGTAAAACGTCTTCGCGATTGTGTCATCTACACACTCACTCAATATCCAGAGCTTCCTTACGCTTGCTATATATAACATCATAATCCCTCCAATATAAATTCCATTTTGTTCCTCGGACGGTCGAAAATGGTATGCCTCACCTCGCCTTTGGCCTGACGAGTTCTGGCAATCCATCTGACAACAGCCCGAAATAGCCACACGCAGATTCGTCATATTTCGCTCCCGGCTTGTCAAAGGCGGAGGTGTACAGTCAAGTCCTTGAACAAGCGAAAGGGTTGTTGGATGGTCAGCGAAATTGGGTATGTATTCCGTACCTGCAGCCTATGCCTCTCTATCGATGCCCAATGGTCACAATAGCCTCAATAGCCTCAATAGCCTCAATACCCTCGATGATGGCAATTTTCAATAGATCATATGCTAACAAGAACGCTTATACGGGAATAATTAAGGTGAGGTATGTCCGCATCCCATCTGCACATTGAAGAAATTCCAATTGAACACTGCTCAACATAAGGCCTAGCAATCTTGCCAATGTTGCCTCCTTGTTATGGCATGCATATGCCGCCCTGCCCACGCCTTCATCCAACGTGAACTGGGCTGGTTTCTACGTTCGACAAGATAAATTTCCATCTTTGGCTTCTCCCGACTCAGATACCAAGGGGACACCAAGTACGAAAACCCTCCTACTAGGCCCTTTTCAAGGCAAGCCTGCTTGCCAGTTAATTCAATTTGGGCGGGGAGTGTGCGGGGCAGCAGCTGAAAGACGTGAAACCGTCCTGGTGACAGATGTGCTCAACTGGGAGGGTCATATCGCCTGTGACGCTGAGAGTAGAAGTGAAATTGTTGTCCCGATTTTGGTGAATGGAGAGGTGAGTTCTAGTTCCCTCCAGGCGCAAATGCTACAGTATTTGTGTTGCCGCAAATTTGTGATATGGGTTGCTCGAAAAGATGTTATAGCAGGCTAAGAGAATTATTTATCAGACCGTTGCTATAATTGATGTTGACTGCACTCAGCCATCTGGATTCGATGATGTCGACAGACAATGGCTCGAGGCTCTTGCAGCGATACTGTCAGATAGCTGCGATTGGTAACTAACATCCGGTTCAATGTAGTATACCCCGTTCCTTTATGATTTGTCAACATGTTGGTTCGTTTATGTGATTGTACCATAGATCTACGATTTTCTACGTTCTGATATGGTATTATGCATACATGCGGACGGTCTACAAATGGCGAACATATAATGTACAGTACACTGAATAACTGAATCTAGAGTTTATGCATTTTGCAAAGTGATGAGCCACGATATCTCGATTGTCCCAGATTGCTCTAATGCCTCCGGCGGTTACCTTTTTTTAAAACTTATTTTTCTTCTTTTCCCTCAAACTGGCATAATGATCTGCTGGGAGAGTTAACACAAATTGCGCACGAAGCTCTCCAATGTTGGAGTCGGACAAGCGTGTTTCCATTCGCTTTCGGAGCGGAAGTCACACGGTTTTCGGTCCGATCTGCCGTCTTGAACAATGATTCGGTCCGTTGTTGACCTCTTGAGCCATTGATTGGCTGTCACGCGGTGGGTTGAGGAGGATAAGGCAGCTGAAAGCGGCAGCGCGCGATGACTGTGATGATACCATACCTCCAATTACTGCATGTCGCTAAGGACTAGTATTTTAGACAACCACAGCGCTCCATTTTTCTGAAGCGGGTACCTGATCTGACGAAAGGGATGAAAAGTTCGGGACAGCGAGCATGGAGTGGAGACGCTTGGGGGGACGAGCTATGGTTGATATGGGCGCTCCATAAAAAATTGCGCCATGGCAAGGTTTGACATGCGATGGGAGGGAGGATTCTGAATGGGTGGAGAATGGCATTTACTTGAATACAACAAGGGTCTCTGTTCCTTTGTCCAGTATGCTTTCAAAACGAAAGAAATAACAGCTGGTATAACTTAAATGGCAACTATCAGGCCCTCCCAGGAGGTTGAGGAAAGGAAGGGAAGCATATCCTGTCGTCATTGAAGAAACGGCGCTGTCGAAGCCAGTATCCATATTTACGAGCAGATTTCGCAGCCCACTGTTTAATGTCATTATCGTGGGATTGATTTCCTTCACGCAACGGGTATCTGGAATGCGTTGAATTGTAAGTTTTCGACTTCAACACCCCTGAAGTAAAATCCATATTGGACTCGATCGACGGACACATTTTGTTTCCGTTCCTAGACACTGGTGCTGGCGGCCAGCAAGAGCTGTGTCTCGTCAATGGAGCTAATTCTTTGACATCCGGGTAATTCTCTAGTTTTCCTATGTGCGGCTGATGACGACAGATTCACTAAACAAAGCATTACCGATAGGTTGATGGCCTTTTGGCTGCACAATATTCGGTGTCCTCGGGAACAGATACGGGTTATGTAAAGTCCTAATTTTTGGCACCCTGGCTACGCGCCGTACTTAGCAGCGCTATACGTCAATAATAGATATGGAACTGAAATGGTTCGCCCTTCTCTAGGCGTCACATGTGGTCATGCTGCGTCCGCCCTTTGGGCCACAGAGGGAGCTATGGCCATTGCATATCCCACAGTGAAAGATCGTGGTAAAATGAGTAAGTCAATCCTCTACCGCCCAGCAACTACGCGAAGACGAAACTAATTCTGCGTGAAAAGCTGATATCTGGCTCGGACTTCGTGAACTAGGCCAACTTATTGACGCGTCCAGATCCCTTTCTCTAAACGTTAAGGGGGATGAGAAAGGGAAATTTGGATACGTGACTTACTTGGTCCTCATTTCAATCCAGTAGTGCCTGGGCCTGCCACTCTCATCCCTCATATCGTCTCCGGGCAAGGTCATTCGGCCTAACGGGACAAAAGTTATGCAACCATGGGCCGATAAGACCCTCAAGGGAGAGTTCAAAGGAGCCTGGAAAGTCTTGAAGACCAAGCACATATACATGCTGATCCCGATGCTGGTTTGTTTCGGCTGGACTGTCTCATATCTTAGGCATTTATCAGACGGCATATTTCTCTGTCCGCTCATGAACGTCAGCATTACTATGCTCCGGCATAGCGTCGACATTTGCAAATATTTCCTAGGGCTGGTTCTTCGATTTGAAGTGCTTTAGCCAACCTGGTGCTGGCAAAGTGTACTTGGTTCTTCGTTGCAACTTTCATGTTTGGGCTGTTCGGGTGGCAGGTTGCGAAAGAGAGGTTGTACTCTAGCTCTGAGTCGAAGGTAACGCTTGACTGGGCTGAGCCTGGCTTTGGACGGGGGTTTGCTGTGAACGTCCTTTTCTGGTAAGATGAAGTTTTCCCACCACGCTCCGCAGTGTTGTTATCAGCCATCTCGTACGGTAGTTATCGGAGCTGCCAAGACCACGCCGATGGTGAACCTTATTGTTTCCTTCGTGATGTTTGGCCTCACAGTGATCCCAACCTCGCTGGTTGTCTTCATGGTGCCGAAGCACCCATCGGACGAGCCTCTGATAGCTGTTGACGTTGACGATGGTGTGAAGACTGATGATACTGAATCAATTGCAGGGGATCGGTGTCTTCCAAAGAAGGATGAGCATAAATGCAGTGTCATGTTGATGATATATAGGATGTACTTATATAGAGGAATTGGATGGCGATTTAGAAGGGTGTTAGCATATTGACAACGCGCGTCAACTAATAATAATATGATGATACCCGGTATGGAGATCGATAAGTCAAGTGTGACATTGGAAATCATGCATGTCCTGCTGTTAATTGTTTTCTCGCTCTGAACAGATTCAGTGGCTTGTTCAAATTTCCCTTCATTTACCAAACCTCTTGATCGTTGTCCTTGAATTCGGAATTCCCCTCACAGCCTCTTTCAAGAGTGCTATGGGCCATGGGGAATTAATCAATACCTGACAAGATGCCCTTGTCAACCATCATCGTGAAATGCTATCGCCGAACATAGGAAATTATTCCAACCAAACTCCATGGTTATATTAGGCTATCGCCCAGCCTTGAGAACGTGAACTTGACAATGGCGTAGGCCTCGGTGGCATCTAAGGATGAGGCAACACCCAAGTTACCTGTTGGAACGCAATAACGGATGGTCCATTGTCAATAAAGAGCAAAAGGAGATAATAAATATAAAATAAATATAAAAAATAAAAGAAGTGGAAAAACCCAATGAGTTTCGAAGCGTGGGGAGACCCTTCGCTTGAATCAACCCGGACCCGAGGATGATATGAAACGGGGAAAATAAGCAATGAAAAGGCTGTACAAAGTGTGCCTCCAACCCATTGGCAGAATGACAAAGGAACAGTTAATTGATCACTTTAGTTAAGAGTTCGCGCCACAGTGTTGATGCATTGTGCGATTTTTATATTTTTGCTTTTTCCCTTGTTGGTGACAAACGTGAGCTGCAGGGGTTGCCTGCGGGGTTTCCGAGAATAATTAGATGCGCGGGGCAATGTACCACCGCTTTTGACCTCAAAGGATTCATGACGTAACATGATTGAACACATATTAACCCTCTAGTCGTGTGCAAACAATATATTCCATCCGGGAAAGCTTTTATCAAAGGATAACTCATGACCATATGAGGAGGATCATTTTCGACTCCCTCTTTCAAGAATATAAAATCTGTATATCAAAGGGACCATGTATATATGTATGGGATAACCGGTTATGACAGCCATTATCTGAAAACCAAGAAATGTAAACCTGAACCAGGGCCTGTATAAATATATGTGCAAGAATATATGTGCAAGACAGAAAAAAAAAAAAAGAAAAAAAAAATCATAAGCATGATCTATATCTACATGTTAAGGAGGCTCATTTGTCTGCAAAGTGGACTAGTTGAGCCAGGGTCAGGGCTTTCTCCATCCTCACTCGGGCCCAGCCCGCTATCGGTCCCCGCCCCGAAAGGCGTGTCAGTGTCCGGGTCGATATCCCACTGGTCTTCCTCGACTTCGCCATTAGTAGTGTCGGGGTCCTCATCAGTATCGCCGCTCCACGCCTTCTGGACGGCACCGCGAACATTCCAGCGTAGTGCACGGCGGACGCTCTCGAACCATTCCCCTGAGCCCGCAACTACTGTGGGGAATGGGTACTGGCTCGCTTCCACTGTGACGTAGTCGCCTTGACAAAGCTCGATACGACCCTTGCCATCGAAAGAACAGTATGCAGTAGATCTAGAAGCGGCAGGCACAGCAATCCGTAAGAGTAGAGCATCTGAGAGGACCATAGGGCGAAAAGAAAGAGTGTGCGGACAAATGGGGGTAAGAAGGATTCCGGGAATTGAAGGGTGGACAAGAGAGCCGCCCGCCGAGAGAGAGTACGCGGTAGAACCTTTGTATAGTTAGTTTCCTGTGTAAGAGGTGGGATTAGGTGTTAAAGGCAAATTTACCTGTGGGAGTAGAAAATATACAGCCGTCAGCTTGGACAACTGTTAACAGCTCGTTATCACCATATAGTTCTAAGTTTGAGACATATGGCGAAGGCCCACGATCAATGACAAGTTCGTTGACGACCTCGAACTGCTCACCCTCTACAACTGCCCCAGGCAGATGTCCAGGTTTCCGATCCAAACGGTAGACGGTACATGTAAATCTCATCCGCAGATTTACACGCATACCCACGTCACCCATGATTTGATTCAGGTGTTCTTTGTATTTTGAGAACTTGAAATTCGTCAGGAAGCCCAGACTCCCGAGCGCAAAAGATAGTACAGGCGGTACAACACGTTGAAAAAGCCAAGAGGTAAAGAGGACAGTCCCGTCTCCCCCCAAGGTAACAACCAAATCGAAAGTTTCAGGTGATGACCAACAAAGGTCAGGAGTCCAATACTTCAGCATATGTTCGAACTGAGCCTCTTTTGCTAATAGACCGGGAGCGTCAAAACGTTTAGAGTATCGCAACTTGTGGTCGACATAGACATTTACACCTAGGTTACTACCGTATCGTGGTGTGCTCAATAACCATTCTGCCAACTCTCGTGTGAGGTATACTAGGCGATTATCTCGTGCTTTCGTAACAATCATGACGTTTTTGACCGCCAGTTTAATAGGGCGCCGTTGCAACTGTTTCGATACTTCTCGAACACCCGTCGCAGTTTGCATCAATCTCGAATGCGACATCCATTCGTCCGCAGCAATCTCCTCAAACACCTTATCAATGTTGACGGCTGCGTCGAATCGTTGGTGATAAAAGCAAGGAGATTTTAAAGGGAAGGGTGCGGTGGATGGCGTTCTCTCGTGGTTCAGGCTCGAGCTCGGAAGAGCAACAGAGCGCCCCTGTGCCGAACTGTGATCTGCCTCAGAGCCGGTTTGAGAGGGAAGGCCTGCTAATGACGCCGTAAGGGGTATTTGACCACTGACTGAGCCGATTCCTTTCGAAGCGAGGGCTTTTAATATTGTCTGGCGTGGTATGGAATCGATTGAGCGCGAGTTTTGGCGGCGCTGTAGGAAAGATCTCGTCGAGCTCATCGGAGGGAACGGAGAGCCGGGAAGCGGCGGAAGTGTTTCCAGTTGAGGGGTTGTGGAAGACGACGATGGGGCACCGGTATTTTTCTCATGATTCTGACAGCGCGGGGAGATCGGATCGCCCAATTGCAAAGGATCGAGATTCCTAGCGTAGTCCTGAAGCAAGGTGTTGGAGGTGTGAGAGGAACCGTATGCGAGATCTGGAAAAGCGGATTGAGGTTTCGTAGCAGGGTTGCAGGAGCTGGGAGCCTCACTGCTGGACTCCTGTAGTTGTTCTTGCTGTTTTGATGGAGAAGGTGGTAAACTAGGTTCTTCTCCGATCGTCTGGAGACTGTCCGGCGAGAGACTGGGATGTGTGAATAACGGGGACGACATCGTGAGAAAATTTCACATGCGCCGAAAGACCCCGCTGAGAAAGAGCCTGGTAATTCCCAGCGATGGCGCTCTTCCGACTGATTGATAACGGCTGATGCGCAAGCGAGTGACTGACAGCTCGCCTTATCTATTCGGCAGAGATACGAGGGGAAGTGGAGCAACGCGAGTGGGCCAAAGGGAGCCTCGGAGATCTTGGCTGGAAAACGGGGAGAGAAGGATGGGAAATGTATACATGGCTCGACGACATGGGACGATTAGTGGAATGAGTGAAGCGGACCATACTGGCTTTTATAGACTCGGGAGGCCCCTAGTGAGGTTGGCTATCTCCGCCGAAGTCAAACAACAAACCAGCGCCGGGAACAAACTCGTGCTGAGGCTGGTGGTTATGATTACCGCATTTGGCGATCGTAAGTTAGGGTTTGCTGAGTAAGGGCATTACAGATCACATGACTCTCCAGGCCTGGTCCTCTCGCTATCAACGCCTAACACTCCCTGGGACTTCCAGCTAAGACAACCAAAAGAGGCGATTACTGGCAAAACCAACAAGAAATTTCCGTGACACTCCGCGTTTGAGGCTTTCTCCACTGCTGCAGTTTTCTTTCTCGATCAATCCTTTGACACTATGGCTGGGCGGATATCACGGAGATATTTTCGGTTTTTCGCTTCATCTTGCCCTCACCGGCATGAATATGCTAGTTACGCCATGGGAACACGCGAACAGGGCTTTGCTTCAAGTCTCTCGTCAGCTTCAGTCGTCTGCTCCACAAAGAAAACGCAAAACGACTTCTTTCGTAGCTAGGAGACGAGCAGATAAAACTTGAAATCCCCGAGGAGACGGCGCGAAATACCCATATCTCATTGACCCGAATTGCTGGTTGCTCTACGGAGTAGGTTCTGCTCGGTTTTTACGATTCCCAATGTGATGATATCATGGCGTCAAGATAATTTCTAGGCACTACGATCTTGACCAAAGATTGGTTTCGCACAATGGGCCAAGATATTAGTTAACTATTTGTTGGCATTTTCTGGTCTCAGGCCGCTTGTGGTTTTGCGAGAATAACAAGCAGGTTGGTCGACTGAGAGAGATGTGCCTCCAAAACTTACTGCACTATTTTCCTTCACACTTCACATCACAAATTCCCAAAAGTTTTGCGCCTAATTCCGAGTTAGCGTCATAGCCGCCATCCAAGCTGGGAAATGAGCAGTTGACAGCTCTAACTGGATACACGCTGATCCACATATCCAGATCTGCCAAAGGCTGTCACCGTGGCCATCACATACCACGCCGCACCCGGTGATGACATCTCTTGCATGGCAGCGGCATCAAACGCAATTGGATCACGACCGGATAGGGAGAATCTGAAAACTTGCCAAATGTATTGCAACGTTATTACCGGTTGTTCCCTCCCGAGGGAGGAATATCCATCCCATATCGATCTTGCTGCCCCAGCAAAAAAGATAAAGGAGCTTTTTATTAGTGGCCGCACATCCTTAGCTCAAACTCGACTCGCAGTTTGGGGCGGGGTCCTAACTTTGTTCGCCCCTTGACCCCTCCCGACTCCACCTATCCAACACATCCTCTTTTCGAATGTGAATCAAGAGTCGGATAGACACCACCCCCTCAGTAACAGCAGAAACAGTGACCTTTTTATTTGACTGTGCCAGATATATCCCAGGTCACTCTCTTGTGGTGGTTGGACCAAAATTCCAGACACACAATTAGTCAAAGCAATTCTAAATTTGTCCTTGTCCCCGCTAACTCTGAGGCAGTACTGATACAGTGACTGTCATGTATTTCTTATCAGCTATGATCGGTGTGCTCTGTACGTTAATAGATCCCCACTGCTTCCATGAGAGTTCTCTTCCGTGCAGAAGAAATTTCCAAGGACGTTAATTCAGCAATTTGACCCTGCCCACATCTGTACCCCCTGCCATTTGAAAACGTATGCTCCAACAAGGGGATCGGATTTTGAGTGGAATATTTAGGACCCTCTGGAGCCGTGGTGTTTCCGTGTCCGCCGTACGCTACAGGCATGCAAATCGATGGGACGGGACGTGGATCAGACGGATGCAAGATCTGAGTAACAGAACATCCATTTGAAAAGTTTAATTTTAGGATCGCTAGGGGCCAGTCTGTTACATTTTTGCCGCGTATCGGAAGGGTCACCAACCTGACCAAGAAAGTAACCAGATCAGCGTCACTAGCGATAACCTCACTCTTGATAGTTATATAAGCGACAAAAATTGGTTCAAATGATTTTTACAAGATTTGCCGACCAACACCAGGGGCTGAACACAGTTCCCTCGCACCGTACAATAACTACACATACCAATGTGCAGTACGCGTATTCCACCACCCACATATCACATAAGATATCATTCGAATCGTTTGTCACTAGCTATCATAGCTCTAGGCTCAGCTGTGAGATCTTTTTAAGCGCTTTGTCCGGAAAGTCAGGGGTTGTCACGAGAAGAGGCTGACGGAGACTAGTCAATAGATTCTTCAGTCTGACTGTCGCTGGGCAAGTTTGGCCCAAGAGCATCAACGTGTAACTGGCCCATGGTTCGTTCACCATCTTTGCTTCAACAATTTAGTCTAAAGCTGAAAATATTCTAACATCAGCGTACATTGACATACGAAATCTTTGACCTGGCAGGACTTTTGGCTTCCCCTCCACCCAATATGACTCACCCGAAAAATTATCAGAAGTCAAAGGAAATATGAGTAAAATTGAATCTATACTACCTATTATGAGCAGTCCGCAGAAACACCATCAATTAAGTCAATCTGTGCTTTCAAACACGGCCAACATTTCCCGGTCCGCTCAGTCAGAGTGGTGCCTCCCCATCCTTAGGTAATAATTCCACCAACTTCGAAAAATCGGGTGTTCCAAACCCAGTAACCGGATCCCAACCTTCTGTCGCGTTCCAGCTAGCATACTGCACGTACCCCGTCCGGACGCCGGGGGCTATTTCCGTGCCGGCGCAACCGGTGGAACCTCCGTCCACGATATCCGTGAACCCCTCGAAGCCAGTGCTGTAAATCCAGGGATTAAGAAAGCCGAGGACAGGCTTATGATGTGAAAGTCGCAAAGCGTTTAGGTGAGAGACTACTGCAGCGACAGTAGGGGCGGATGCCCTGTATTTAGATTTCGAACATGTGGTTTTTGTTATTGGTTAGTGGGGGGTCGTCCACATTGATCACTTTTTCTGTTATTCTTTTATTTTACTCCCGCTGAATTATGTGTAATATGCGCGGATATACCTTGCGCTCGGGAACCTCGTAGAAATTAAACCACGTACCTGGTACCGTCAACGATGATCAATTCCCCCTTGTCAAATATAGAATAACTCACCCCCTGGGCAGCAACATCGGGATAAGCACGTCCTGCAGGATTGTACATGCCATCCCACCTATTGCCCAGCTTGTTGAGGTATGTCTGGACGGCCTCCTGCTGGTAAGAAGGTCTGTCAAATCGTTCAGAGAATCCTCCTGATGAAAAAGCCACTGCTATCTCGGGGTTCATGCCTCTCGTGGCGCCAACTGAGGTTACAAAAGGGCAGGCACCGGGGAAGATAGGAGTGAAGGCTGTCCTATTTGTCCCGTCATTCGATTTACAAGAACTACCCACACCTGAATCGCCACTGCTGAAGATCACAGAGACACCTCTTGCGCCCAATTCTGCGAAGAGACTGCATGCTGATTCGGCATAGCCGGCTGGGACGCTTTGTTCGTTTTCTCCGTATGAAGTGGTGAGGACGTCGGGCAAATCCTCGTCAGCCAAGTCGAGAAGGAAGTGTAGCTGCTCCAGATATGGTTCGTTGGAGTTCTGTGCTGGGTCTGGTGCATCGAGGTCCGGAATGAATTTCCCCCTTCCTCCAGTTGTATAATAGGTAACATTTGAAGCTGGTGCGAGACCAAGCACATATTGGATGTCTAAGTTCGCTTCCATGCTCCTCACTGAGGGATCCTGGATGTTGAGGCCGCCATTGATGGACTGAACTGAGAAGTTGACGTCGGGAGCTTCAGGAACGTAGGTAGAAAGGAAAAGCTGGAGGTCTGTGTACTGGGCATACTGCTCAAGGTAGCCGGAAACACCGACTTTGCTTGGAGTACATTGTGGTTCTTTGGAACATGGAATGTTGTATATAGTGCACAGATAAGATGGAGTGATCAGCTGGTAGCAATTGACTTCTTCCTTCTTTGTCTGTTGTTCCATGGACGGTGCAGTGACCCTCAACAATGTTGAACCCTGCGGTTGGAGCCTTGCGAATCTCGTCGTAGGTTGGATCATGCGAACATGGGAGGCAACGGATACGGGAACGGAATACTCGAGAGTGCGTATTATGGAGCCCTTGGTTTGCTCATCTATGAAGGAGTAGAAACGAGTATTCAGAAGACGTTCTGCCTGGTCGACAGTAGCATCAAAACTGATCCAGGCGCCATCATCCTTGATCTTGACACTACTGAGCCCCCCAGACGTAAGCCACAGTATAAGTTGAGCAGACACTTCTGAGCGAGGTCGTAAGAAGTCCTTAACTTCATCTCTCTTCATATGAGAGCCATAAAGGGGATGGCCTGGAGTGGAGATATCCACCACTTTCTGGTGGAAGATGGCCTCCTTCTCCGCATGCACAGCTAGCCTAAATCGAAGAATCAACGATTTATCTGGAGCAGGTCCTTGAGTCCAGCCATCTGGAACAGAAGTAAGCTGTTCAATCACCTGGAAGGAACTAGATCGGGACGGGTGCACCGATGCCACGAGGCCAATAAGCAACACCCCCAGTGAGCTAATCAGTGAGCTAAGCAGTGAAATTAGCATTGCTGAGAGGAATGTCGAATCATGAATTGAATGAAAAGGACCAGGAATTAGATAACTAATAGAAAAGGAATAGCCAGGCATACTTTTAGGGAGAGATGATTGTTGGATCCGTAAATCGATCAAAGGCAAGGGAGGCTGGCCTTGGTAAAAGATTGAAGTTGCCCAAAAGGGCTTGCTGGGAGCGATATCCACAGGTCCTACTTGATAATCCGACAGCTTTTCCCCTTCATTCCACTTGCCTTGCCAAAGGAGTCTCGTGGGGACGGCCAACTCGAAGCAGGCTGAAACTGAGCAACGATCCCACATATCGTCTCCAGATCAAGGAGCTTGGTCTTTCTGTTTCCGGGCAAAACGACAGTACAGCCAGCTAGAGATATCGGCTCTAGGCAAAAGCTCCCTATGTAAAAGCAACCTTAATTCAACTACCATCAGATCAGGGCGTGGTTTACTGAAACTCGGTTGTGTTTGTGTCATTATTCAATCAACGTCCCAGGAATAATACGGCTGCTCGACACGCTATCCGATGCTAGCATCCTTGTGGAGCCAAGGGCTAGAAATCAAGATGGAAAAAAAATAATCCCTAGAGCAGCTGCATTTCTTGACCATAATTCGATATTAATATATTAAGACGGATCGGGATGGTTGAAGCATGTTGTTGTCGACTTTGACATCATTGCCAAGCAGCCACCGCCACAGCCAGCGCGTGGAACTGCAAGCCACTTCATCACCGTCATTCATCATATCTTTCTGGAAAATTGTTCCTTTTGAGATGCGCTCCGGTTAAATATTTCTTGAAAGATCGATTTGATTGTAATGAGATATTATATATACTCTTTCTCATTCATCTCGGTTGTCATCTTTTTTGCAGTGAGATATGGATCTAGAGAACGAGCACATACGCAGGGAGAACTGCAAACATTGGCATTGATTTCTTTCATGGGAGACAATATTCTCTTCATGCCGCATGGTGTTCTCATGATCTTCTTAGAGCTCATGATGATATATCATCAATTGCCATAACAACTACACAATATTATGTTGGCAGGGCATTGCTATCCCCCCCCAGCTCATTCCTTCATATCCATCCCCAGAGTTGTACCCATCAACACTCAGATGAACAGCACCCTTTCCACTCTTATTCAGGCCTCCTATTACTCCATATCTGTTATGCTATCAACAAGGAGGACATAAAATCGAAGGGTCTTGTTCACTTTTTGTTCTCCTCTACAAGCAACATGGCGAGGAGCGACATTTCTCCAGACACATCCAATGCTTCACCTCGATCCCAGCAAACTGCGCACGACGAGGAAACTCCCCTCCTCCTTTCCGACTTTCCTAGCGCAGGTGGGAGCTTCACCGATGAAGAGAGTAGGGTATCTGACATGATGTCTAGTTCTCCCTCCGCTTCCGGCTCTGGATTCTCCCTCACCACCGCTGCCCCCGAAACATATTTGGCCAACAACAGCTTGCTGGCCATCTCCCTGAGCATTCTGTTAGTCTTGTTTGGCTTTGTGCTATACCTTGTCGTGAGGTGGACTGATTATCGCTCCTTTTGGGCTTGAATTCAAAATCTGGTCGGTGCATTATTGCAGTCTATTTTGGCAGTTACCCCGGGACCTTTGTCGAAGTCACAATTTTTGACTTGGAATTGTATCTGAAATACAGAAAGCGACAAGACATTGCCGATTTTAAATCAGACGAGACGGCGACGAATTTCCAAAAGTTATGGAGCCTTCTGAAGGAAAAGGGTGTGTTTCCGGATGTAGCCCTTTGCATTGGTTTATGGTTTGCACTGTAGATTCCCGAATCTGGTATAAACACGTCATCACTTATGTTTTGCTAGTCAACTGTTTATATATATGCATACCTACTGAATGGAATGGACAGGAGGGAGTCATACATTTCTCGTAAGATTTTTGTAGATGATTTTGGTATGTTATTCTTGAAATGTTCCTTCCCATCCTCCGGTCTGCGCAAATCGCGGGGGTTAATGTTTCGTTCCAATACTGATAGCCACGAAAGCGAACCCAACAATGACCATGGCGTAACAACGAGGGAATATGCTACAGCACCTTGCAACAAGTTTGAAACTCTTCTTGCAATTCACTTTGGCGGTGCAGTGTATCAGATATTATGTGCACAAGGCCCGCGGGATTTTGATTGGCTCGATGGGTGTAAACATGGTAATATCAGATGTACCTAGGTAAAGTAGGCAATTGAAGGACAAAGTCTCGATTTTCTTCCCAATAATTCTAAGCATTTTGCTCCTGGGTTGCAAGCCGCTGGCTCATTTTCTATATTTCGGTATGGTGAACCTAAGAGTCTGTAATATACATCGGACTGAAGCAATTATTGAACAATTTGTGAGTGTGGATTTGCTTGAAGAGGACCGCGGGTCGGTATGTGTTTGGGCTCAAGGGTCGCTGTGGAGTTCATCATGCGCGATAATTTCAACTTGCTAGGGTTTGAGTGGTAATGAGACGGAAAATGTCACGGCTATATATGTAGATAAAGATGGTCTGCGATATAGAGAGGTACGATCAAGTGGCCTTAGGGGGTTTTCTGCATTCAGTGGACATAGAGAGTCATTCAATTGATGCCAATGTCTGGAAGAGCAAACTGGGTATCAAAACAATTCAATATAAGCCCGCCTCATGAGTTCACCACCATTCCCATTTACCCCCTGTTCTCAGACAAAGAGCAAACGAAAATTCCCTTTGCAGCCATACAGCACCTAGAGCATGCAGGTTGTGTCAGAGTCGACAAAATTTGCCATTCATTGGCTAGAATCCCAGAGCCTGGAATGTCACAAATACTTCCAAGGTTGTTCTTCCAATCACCCAAACACGTCAGAAGCATGTGCCACAGCTTGAAGGGGTGGAGATTCCAAGCATGGTGGAGGGCATCTACCTGCGTGTGACGATTAGTGTATGTATGTAATACACCGGGCGTAGCATGATTTAGCACATGGCCGCTCACATGCACGGTATCATGCAATTACCCGGTGCCTGAATTGTACGGTATATCGTACATTGTCGTCTTCAGTGCAGCAAGGAAATATGTAGGATGAGGCCTTCAGGTCGTTGCAATCTTCCACGCCAGGTTTTCCCTGACCTTATCTTCCACCGTATCTCTCAAGAGCTGTTCGAGAGTTTGGCCCGCTTTCACACCATCCATATCAACGTCGCCGTCTCCTTTTCTTACCCCTGGACTTCCCGTACAGGTAGATTGGGCGAGTTCATAAACTTTGTCCCAGGTATCGAGATCAAATTCACCCTCACTTTCGTTAAGCAGTAGATGCCCCTTGGACGAAAACGCTAGGACGTGTAATGACTTCGCAGCTTTGACTTGGGAATTTGAGGGATGCTCAATTAGATCGCCGGTCGGGGATGCTGCGATGAAGGCGGACGTGTATACCATAGAGAGCGGGATTGCGGCAGACAGCAATGCTAGAAGAGCCGTGTGAAGCAGCGAAGGTAAGATAGAAAGACACTTGGCAGCTCAAAGTCAGTAAGGAGGGGTCTATAAAGAAAGGTCCAACCGACGTGGGTTTCCGGAGAGTTAATGTTTTGTCCTTCGCGCTGCTCATTGCACTTACCGATCCACCCCGTTCTGCAACCTTCCCGTCGGCTCCCTTATTTTTCAATACCACCAAAGTGATTATAATTGCCTTCCTAGGCATTGACTTTTCTCGAAGTAGTATAACCCGACTCAGGATACCCCGCAGGATGCCTTCGACATATCTCTCGCCAACACCAGACACGCCAACGCCTGGCTTAACGAGAACTTCTATTGCGGCTTCCTCCGACTTTTGGGCGTCGCGACGGGCAGGTTCGATAGGACCATTTACGGATCCAATTATGTGATCTCCGGTGGGGGATGTGTACGATGCCGAACCGTCAGGGAAACGGAGCGGAGTAAGAGAGGCATTCGGGCCAGCCATTGGGCTCTATAAACTGTGCAGGAGCAAGCGAAGAGGTCGGAGAGGAAGTTAATACAGTTGGAGAATCTTATGATATTGACGATTTTTGTTTTATGGTGAAGGGAACAAGTCAACGGACGATAGATAACCCGGACTCCGAAGAGTGCTTGGCATCCCGGCGCCTTACAGAAGCAAAGACACCTCGATGAGGATGACGACGACGACGACGACGAACTCAGGGCTCCTCGTCAGAATTCTCTTCGATATCACACCTCTAGTCTAGTTAACGGGAGGAAATTTCATTCTCCTTGCTCATGGAGTTGGTTACATTCACACGCGAATTGGTTTCTCAAGCCAAGCTCCACCCTTCCGCAGCGTTCATTGGTCAACACCTGTGTGATCTTGACAGTCCAACCGATTTAGACAGCTGCTCCTCACGCTGGGGCCAAGACTGGTCCGGCTTCAACACATTATGAGGGTCATGTGCTCCTTTGCCTATGCTATGTGAGGATTGGCGTGTCACCATTTTGTGTCGGACCCCCACGGTCTGAATATGGATATGTGTCAAGTGAACAATCCGTGGGTTGAGATGCTACTAAAGGACTTCGACAGAGGACACTGATAAAAAGTGCTTGTTTGCGTCGGTTCGGGAACTTCTGGTGCAGCCTGTTGTTTAAGTTGGGACGATATCGGTTGCATGTTAACTGCCAACCATGATTGAAGTCAAGGCACAAAAAACGTGCCCGGGTCCCTCAACGCAACTTGCCGGAACAGCGCCCCTGCGTGGGGTCTTGGTGGGTTGGACAGGCAGCATATGGGTCAGAGACAGCTTCAAGCAAAGCTGGCAGTAGCAATTATTATTTTATATTATTTACGGAGTACTTAATCGCAAAAGGCATGACTCCCAGCCAATATTATTAGGGGGAAAAAGCAGCCACACCGATCAGCGCACTATTAAGCAGTCGTGGGACAGGCGCGCAGGGCCAACCAAGAACAGCCATGTACTGTATAAATGAGCCCCCGAAGAACGCTGCTCCTTGGCCAACAAATCCACAGAATATTTTCCTATATTCTCTTTCGTTAGCACCCATGCATTCTAGGGGCGAAAAGTGCTGAGGCGGCCAAGACGTCAAGAGAAAACTCAGGTGCTGGGAAACGACGGAGGAGGAATGAGAATGTTGAGCTGGTTGTGCTTATGATTCCTGGGCGCAAGTCCGTGGAGTGGCCTAGCCAAGAAACTACGCAACTGTGATCCGCACGGCGATTCCAGGTGTCCTTTCTTTCAACGGCTGCAGCAGAGCAGCCAATAGGAGTCTAGACAGCAGACCCCGCTCAACAAAAATATGGCCAGAACCGGACTTGCAGCTTGGAACCACACGGGCCAAGCAGAACAAGCGGGTCAACGCGGAGAATTTGTCAAGGAGCAGTCGACAGATAGACTGAGGGTTCCCCCATTCCCGTTCTCTCTCCTCTCGATTTGGGGGTATCCAATGCAGCTTGGGGACCCGTGGAAACTGGTGAATGAAACCGTTTGGACTACCTGGTTGGGGCTGCTTGGGCGTTGATATGGATTAGTTAATAGCCAGCGCTTCTCTTCTTTGCGTCAAGGCAGAGCAGAAGCCCTGTGGGTAAGCCAAGCAGAAACTAACGAGATTCGACGGTGTGTGACAGCGTTGTTTTCGTCATGATGGTGAAAGTGAAATCCAGGGCTAGCTCTGAAATTCATTCATAAATCGCATGCACAGTCAGCATCGTTTCAATTGGAACTTTTGGCTGAATCCTGATCCTGATCCACGCACACCCATACATACCGTTGAGTTGGAGATGTGGAGAATCCAGATTGATAAGAACTATATATAGCCTCCCCACAATCGTACCCTTGCTTGTTCAGCGCTCTTTTGATCCCCCATCCATTTCTGCACCTTCGACTCTTTGGTTCTTCCTCGTCAAGCGTTTTGCTTGAAGTCCTGTGAAATCATCACACGTGCGACCTTTACCTTCACTGTACTCCGGTGCCTTTCGTCGAGACCTTTCGCTCCTTTGTTAAATCGTACCTCCTATTGAATGGGCATAGAGACCTCTCCACCAGATGTCGAGGAATCGACAGAGCCACCAAGTCGTTCTTCTATTCATGAAGGGCACCAGCAGCACTCGGGATCAGCCCTAAATCAATCGGCGTCCACCAACCGCCGTCTCGACGAAATAGAAAAAGTCTCGAAGAGTCCAGGCACTGCCCTTTCCGTTAACTTCACAGCCACCTCGACCCTTGACGAGCTCCAAAAATGTCAAGAAATTTGTGAACACGCCTACTCTTACCCCGTTTCGGAAGTTTCCCGTGCTCTAGGGGTTGATTTACAGTAAGTCACCCACTACCTTAGCCGAGACTAGCTTTATAATCCAACCTCGACGGCTGATAATTATTCTATTAGGCATGGACTCAGTTGTACCGAAGCAGCATCTCGCCTTGAGCGGGATGGACCTAACAAAGTTAAGGGAGCAGAGGGGGTTTCCCTGTGGAAAATTCTGTTAAGACAGGTGTCCAACAGTCTGACTTTAGTACGAGAAACATTTATTTCCCGAGTCGACTATTCGCCAGCCAACTGGTAATTATGGATCGATAACTTCGATGTTAACTCTGGTGCGGTGATGTGCAGGTCCTCGTTATAACCATGGCATTATCTTTTGGGATCAATGACTATATAGAAGGAGCTGTTATAACCGCTGTTATCCTTCTCAATATTGTTGTTGGGTACGTCGTTCCTCACTTCCTGCAGACATATACAGACATTCCCATGCCGAAATGATGCTGAAGTACGAACCCGTTGAGCATAGTTTCGTCCAAGATTACCGTGCGGAAAAGACTATCCTTTCGCTACAGGCCCTCTCTGCCCCAGTATCTAAAGTCGTTCGCGACGGCCGAATTGAATCCGTGAAGGCTGAGACCCTCGTAGTTGGGGATGTCGTCCAACTTGCAGTTGGAGACATGATTCCTGCAGATTTGAGACTGTTTGACGGTATGAATGCCTCGACCGATGAAGCCCTCCTCACGGGCGAATCGTTGCCCGTTTCCAAAAACCACCATCTTGTTTTCCCCTCTCGTGAAATGGCAGTAGGGGATCGGACGAACATGGCCTATTCTGGAAGTACAATGACTCAGGGTCGTGCGGCTGGGATTGTGATCGCAACCGCAATGGATACCGAGGTAGGTAAGATTGCGCAGCTTCTACGCCAGCAAGGGCCAAAAGTTGTTGCGGGCTCAAACGTGGTCCGGCGAACGTTGAATAGAGTGAAGAGCACCCTGGTCCACATCTTGGGTTTGGTGGGAACGCCACTCCAGGTCAAGCTCAGCAAATTCGCGCTGATCCTCTTTGCGCTTGCTATCATGTTGGCAATCATCGTTTTTTCCGCCAATGAATGGGATGTGCATGGGGAAGTTTTGATATACGGTATTTGTGTTGCCGTTGCCGTCATCCCCGAGTCACTTATTGCAGTCCTCACTATAACTGTTGCTGTTGGTACAAAGGCGATGGCCAAGGGCAACGTGGTAGTTAGAAAACTCCAGGCACTTGAGGCTGTGGGTGGAGTCACAAATATTTGCTCAGACAAGACCGGTACACTTACTCAAGGCCGAATGATTGCGCGGAAAGCGTGGGTTCCAGACGCTGGAACCCTGACAGTACACGATACGACAAACCCGTTTGATCCTCGAAGTGGATTTGTTCAGATGGACGGCACAAATATTGATACCGACCATGTTGGTAGCAATTCTAACTTTAGCACATTTCTCAAGGCTATAGCTCTTTGCAATTTGTCATCCGTCTATAATTCCAATGACAAAGCTTCCATTGATAACCAGTCGGTGACGGATGCCGGAGATAACTGGACTGCTGTGGGAGAGCCCACGGAAATTGCCCTCCACGTTCTTGCTCTCCGGTTCAACTCCGGAAAGCTGGCTCTGCTTCAAGGCCAGCAGCGAAAACAACTGGCGGAGTTTCCTTTCGACTCAGCAATCAAACGAATGACCGTCGTTTATCAAGATTCCAAGTGCAAGTTTGCTGAAGCTTTTGCTAAGGGCGCTGCAGAGTCAATGTTGCCATTACTCAGGGCTTCAGATGAGAAGAAGGCGGAAATTCGCTACACTGTGGATAGTATGGCCGGAGAAGGTCTTCGGGTCCTGTGTGTAGCGCACAAGATTATTCCCGAAACCGAATTCGGCCAACTATCCCTACGGCAATCTACCGAACAGGATCTCGAGTTTATTGGACTCGTTGGACTCTACGACCCTCCTCGTGTCGAAACTCCTGGCGCAGTTAGGAAGTGTCATATGGCCGGTATTACTGTCCACATGCTTACAGGCGACCACATCAAGACAGCCACAGCTATCGCCTATGAAGTTGGCATTCTTGGGAATATAATACCGTCCGCTCAGGCGAGCACTGTAGTCATGGGTGCAGAGCAGTTTGACAAGCTCTCCGACGAGGAGATCGATGCTATTGAAGCGCTACCGCTCGTGATCGCAAGGTGTAGCCCAACAACCAAAGTTCGCATGGTCGAGGCGATGCATCGAAGACATGCGTTCTGCGTCATGACTGGTGATGGCGTAAATGATTCGCCGGCCCTCAAGCATGCTGACGTTGGTATTGCTATGGGCAAAAATGGAAGCGATGTGGCCAAAGAGGCTGCCGACATGGTTCTCACGGATGATGATTTTGCATCTGTCGTGAAAGCCGTAGAAGAGGGGCGTCGCTTATTCGACAATATTCAGAAGGTAGAAAAGATGAAACAACTCTTTATAACTTCCCCACATACAAGAGAAAAATTCCATTGGCAGCTTCCGCTAACTTCACCCCCCGTATATAGTTCCTTATGCACTTACTGATCTCCAACATTGCCCAAGTAATATTACTCTTATTGGCGTTGACTTTCAAAGACGCGGATGAGAACTCCGTTTTCCCGCTTTCCCCCATACAGATATTGTGGGTGAACTTAATCACCTCATCTTTCCTCGCCTTGGGGTTGGGCCTGGAAGAAAGCCAACCAGATATCATGTATCGACCTCCTCATAACTTACGCGTCGGAGTTTTCACACGCGAACTAATCATGGATAAAATGATCTACGGCACATTCATGGGATCCCTTTGCCTCCTAACATTCGTAGCAGTCGTGTATGGTGCTGGGAGCGGCAATCTTGGAGATAACTGCAACCAGGGATGGAACCCGAAGTGCAACGTTGTGTTCCGCGCCCGTGCCACCACTTATGCAACCATTACGTTCCTCCTCCTTGTCACCGCCTGGGAAGTCAAGCACTTCACCCGCTCTCTGTTCAATCTCGATCCCGCCCGCTATTCTGGCCCTTTTTCCATCTTCCCTGTCCTGTGGCGGAACCGGTTCCTCTTCTGGGCTGTCTGCGCCGGCGTTGTCATTGTGTTCCCTGTTGTGTATCTACCCGTGGTGAACAAGTCGGTCTTTAAACACTCGGGGATCACATGGGAATGGGGCATAGTGTTTGGCGCTGTGGCAGTGTACCTTGCATTGGTAGAGAGCTGGAAGGCGATCAAACGCGCTTTTGGCATCGGGAGTGCGAGGGTCAAGGTGCTGACTATGGAGGAGGCGGAGATGAGAGTCGGGATGTTCCCAAATGGAACACCTACTCTGCCGCCTCGTGGTGAGACGGCGGAGAAGTAACTGGTTGATGTGAGCTAACCAGTGAATAAAAGGGAAAACCAGATTGGACGCGAGAGAAAAGTATGTGCTGAACAAGAAAAAAATGAAAATGAAAGGAGAATTGAAATGGAACGCGCCGAGAACGACGTTTTTGAATCTAAATTGTGTTGTTTTGAGTAACCTGATACGATGATGTCACTCATTTCTTCCCTCGTCTCTCTATCAGTATGAATTTGATCCATGATGATTTCATGTGCAACTCGCTCTGCTCTCGATTTCCAGTGAACCATATGGATAAACGTGATGTGAGAAAAATCTTATCCAGCGGGGACTTTTCGTATAACCTTTTTTTTTCATATTTTGCAATATCCAATTTTTTTACCCTCATCATAGTTCAGCTAGCCAACAAGCGGCTCTATTTTTGTTTTGCTTTTTCGAAGTTTTTCTGAATCAGCTATTGAATTGAATTCAACTTCAATTCCGTCGCGTTTCGCACCTTGCATGATATGAGAAAAAGATTTTCTTTTGAAATTGGCATTTTTAGTCCTGACCTAGAATAACTCGGGGGCCACCTCGGGTTTTTCGATATTTAGGGGAGAGAGAGGGAGGATGGCCGGAGGATTTGCGAATTTGTGCAGAGTCAGAATATGATTTAACGTCTGTCTGTCTGCCTTGACTGGCCGGCAAAGTCCTCCTCCCTCCTCGCTCCCATTTCAAGCCGTGTTCAACACATGGATAAATTAAGTTACTTTATTTGTTTGGTGAGATGGGAGGAGGTAGTTTGGAACCCTATTTATTTTCTTATTTACGCCATATTCGAGATATATAACTATGTATGTACACGTAGATGTACATGTCTTTACCATTGACGTGTTTCCCAAATGGTTTCTTCCCATTGAACAAGTTTTGGATCAAATCTCGTAACGCGGGCTGGTTGAGGGGGAAAGCTCAGCGCTTTCGTAGCTTGTATTATGTGATAATTTTTACCGCGAGATAAAGTTTAACTTTAATTTATTTAGGACAAGGCTGCCAGGGCAGCGAGAAGAGCCTTTGGTCTAAACAGCCCAATGTTCGGATAGAGTTGAAAATCGAACTTGGGCCTCAGATATAGAGAGGTAGGAGAGGAAAGTGTTATATCTCTGCAGTATGTACATGTACAACAGAGTGTTTTCATTCAAATAGGGGGGTACCTACCTGTCAATGCATGTTTTTGAAATCTGCTATATCTTTAACACAACATCAAGATATTACATCAGTATATTTTTAAGAAAGAGAATATAGTAGTACTAAAGAATTTAAAATGTATTAAAACTTTTTACTACTAACTTGAAATCATTAGTAGATTTACTAACTATTAGAGTATACTTATTAAATCATTAATATTTCACTCATATCTGATGCTGTGTTGAAGATATTAATTTTTTAATAGGTATCTTTCATATGGTGAGCTCATACAAAACATACAAGTTGCATTGTGGGGATAATAGCGTTGTGTTGAGGCTCTCCAACCACAGATGTGGTGGGGGAAGCGAAGGCACAAGTAGTGGCTAGTTATTTTAGGGTAGAAAAATAAGGGGAGGGTCCATCGCAAGGCATAGCATTCCCATTTCCGTTTTCCCATCATTGCCATATCTTTTCCTTTCCTTCCCTTATTGTGTTTCGTAAAAGAATATACATACATAAAATACATACATACATCTATCCCAAGTCGCCAAGGAGTGGAATGGCACGCTAAAATTGCAAGTATTTAAAAAGAAGAAAAAAAAAACATTCATGAAAGACAAAACACTGGGCTATTTAGCCAGATTCATCGGTGGGGTGAGGGCAGTGTTCGCGTGAGAGGCCGTGGTAGTAGGCTTCGTCGTCTCCGCCTCGTCACCCCTATCATCCTCATGACCCAGGCTCCCATATCCCGTATCCGTGCTCTTCAAGCTCTCACGGCGAACATGTTCAGTTTTCTGGTCCGCTTCTCTCGACGCTTCATTGGCAGTAGTAGTAGTTGTAGTAGCCGTAGTAGCCGTAGTAGTATCGGTTGTGGGAGCCTCGGTAACATTTTGCGGATCTTGCACGTGGTCGTTAGAGTCGTTTGGGGTTTCTCCATGGTGAAGATGATGCTGGCCTTCCCATCTGGTTTCAACTGCTTCGATATGGATCCCTGCCCGCTGGCAGGCATCGATGCATCCCTTGACAGCCTTCTCAACCAACTCCATATCAAAGCCCGAGGAAATCGGGTTATAAGCATTGCGGACCCAATAGATGAGGCCTAGAGCGATACGAGCGAGGTCCGGAGTGGGAATGGTAGAGAAGCTGCTGGTACTGGTACTGGATTCTGTTTCATCCTGCTGTGTTGACGAGGTAGTGGTGTCTGAGGCAGATGAGCATATGGATGAAGATAATGAGGAATCAGAAAGTAGACTCTGTTCCGTTGCTAAAACGTGTAAAAGGTGGTATAGAGAAGCGAAACCGAGGAGTGTAAGCTCAACGGGATCTATGGGGAGAACGTTGAAGAGCTCAATTGCGTTGCGAAGCGTGAGTTGGGACGATTCAGATGGGCTTCCACCACCCACCTGCCCCTTTAATATTGCTGCAATCATGGCGCAACGAACAGCAATGGATATTTCTGCCCGCGCTGATGGTGGGACAGACGAATCAAGGAAGTTTGTGCTGCTGATGGCTGGCTGGCTTTTGGATCGCGGCAGAGCAGCAAGGACCGTGTTGATATTTGTTACTCTGTCTTCATCGAAGAAAACGGCCTTGATTACCGCAGCTCGTGTGTAGGCAGCCGAGGCGAGAGGCGCGGCATTTAACGCCAGATGGAGGCTGCGTTCGAAGGCTATTCTGGGCTTAAGTTCCGGAGGGAGAGCATCGAAATCGAGGCAGTGAATCAATGCGTTCTGCAGGGCTCGACTAGACCACCATGCCGCAAGAGCATCAAGAGGCGAGCGTACTGCTGTGTCCTCAACGACAATATCCAGCATAGCATCTTCACCATACGTAGCTTCTTGTGTATATCTGTTCCACGCCATGTTGGATGCGCGTTGCATAATTGCATCGGTCATAACGTCGTCCACATCCGCTTCAAGTAGAGTGACAAGGTGTTCCGGAAGAGCGTCGTCATGGTCCTCGGGTAGATTCTTCAGGAGATTTCTCGCTATATCCCACTGATACCTGGCCAGGATGGAACCCGCGTGGTTTGAGAGTCTAAAAGCCCAAGAGCCTGGAGAACCAACTCTCCAGAGTAAAAGACGGCAATGGAGAGCCTTCAGCATCACTCGTGCTGGAGTCCTCGGCAACGTGCCTGAGGCGAAAATAGTTAAAACCATCCGGCTCTTGCTTACTTCCGGGTCCCCTCCGGTTAGTTGGGCATCAATGGCAATATCCCATGCTTTAGCCCTCGCCGTTTCATCGTCTTCTGTAATTCCTGTGAGCCAGGAATACAGCTTTGATCCAAGGAGACAGCTTAGGACATACTCCATACAGCGCCACGTTACTGCGAACCACTCAGGGAAGAACGTGTGGCTCGGAACCCAGACGGTCTGGATACTTGTCAGCCATGCCTCTCGCCGAAACTCGATGGGTGACACACCGCTTCTCGAATCCGTGGCAGATTTGGTAGGATTCTTTGCTCGCCTTGGGGCTGAATTAAAGAGGTAAGCAAAGACGGCGCACGCTGCTCCAACCACAACCAATGAAGTTAATGCGAAATGAGATAAAGCTCGAATTTGCCATGAGGTTGCCGTTAGGAAGCCAAAATACAGCCGAACAAAGCGGAAAAGGTCGCCAGCAAATTGCAGAGGTACACCTAATAACCCCTTTTTAGATGAATCTGATTTCGTTTGGTTTTCGAAACCACCGACGACCATTAGAGCAGCAAGCGTTCCAAGCATAAACTTGTTGGGGAGGGTCATTCGTCGAGCTCCTGGTGATGCATATGTTGTCTGTGCATCTGATCGCTGGTTGAGAGATTCTGCATAGTGTTGTTGAGGAGCATTCGCTCGCAGGCGTTTGAAATACTCGGGAACTTTAATAAGCCCTTCAGGGGGATAGAGCGGGTTGGGCGAGCCCTCTGGAGACAATTCTTCGGTTTGCGAGAAGACTCCTGGCGAAGACCCTGGTCCGGAATCAGTGGAAACAGTATATGCACCAGGCGATGATGCTGAACCGGAAACATTGGCGTAGTTTGTTAAATTTTGTTCCTGAACTTTATCTAACTGGCGAAGGCGATTTTTCAGTCCGACATTTTCCTCTTCCAAGCGCTTATTCCGCTGTTCCAAATGTCGAATATATTCGGTGGCCTTGGCCAAAATAGAAGCCTTGTTGAGTTTGTTAGAGGACGATACAATCTCATCATCTCCGCGCATTCCTTGGCCAGATATTCCATTTTTCTGCTTGACTAAAGCACGAAGGGACGGCACGCTGTCTCGTAATTCGGCAATTTTGTCATTGAGGTTGGCACGGTATCGCTTTTCGATTACGTTGTGGGATCGTTTCTTAGAGGGTAAAGACTTTGAAGCAGACTGCGTATCATCTGATTTAGAGGGTCCTGGAGGTTCAGCTGGGGGCGCCTTCCTCTTCCTGTCTGTTGGTGAAAGAGATGATAATGGCGTAGAGGGGTTGACTATGTTTCCATCTGATGTGCTCCTACGTGTTATATCTCCGGGTGAGGCTATTTCTGGCACGGAGTTATTCCGATGCCCGCTGACGAACTCTGGGCCGAATGCTGAATCAAAGAAGTCGGAAGGCGCCGGAGAAATATCTGATAGAAATGGAGGTTCCTGTGGGGAGGTGGTATCGCGACCTGAAGAGCCAGCTGTGAATGTGAACGGTACGTTGGCTGGTAAAACATCGAAAGTCTTTGGCATCATGGTCTGATTTATATCAGATAATTTTTCATCGATTTTCGAAGGCAAGTTGAATAGATTCGTATGCGCTGACATATCATCATGATCGATATCGTCCCATTTCATCCATTGGGACCAGTCTGCAGTTAAGTTCTCTGGGGGAGTATCGAAGGAGGCGGTATCAGTCGATGGGCTCCTCATCGACATTCGGATAGGGGACCTGGTGGATTTCGAGCCGCCCTGTACAACGGGAGAATCCATGGCAAGTAATAGTTTATTCCCTCTTCTAATTTGAACACATGCACGCAATTGGGATATATTTAATCTTCCTTTGCCTTTTTGTGTGGGTGTGTTTTTCTAGAAGACGACGGGGGAAAAATAACAAAAAAAAATGAAATAAATCAACAATAATAATAAAAAAAAAAAAAAAAAAAAAAAAAAAAAAAAAAAACAAAAAGGCAAGGATGCCGATAATTGAGGCGCACTAATTTGTCCTGGTCGTTCAAGTGCAATGTGTAGAAAGAGTATGAATCCAATTGGAGGTTGAGTAGGTGAAAATGTCGAAGATCTTAGTGGCAATTAATGGGCGCGGCGTCGGTAATGAATGAAACAATAATGTCCATTCACTGTAAAGTACAAGTACATCGCCCCCCTGGATCAGGCTGCCATCAAACAGAGATATCTCACGTCGTTGGATGTTATTATTGAATGGAGGTGGGTGGGCAAAAAAGTAGCAGGCCAGAAGCGTGGAAACTAAACTGGTGTTGAGCTTATTCAACCAGTGAAGCAAGTCTCAACGATTCCAGGATTGGAAAAGCAGCTTTACTCGTAGTCGTTAAGCTTGATATAAAGTCAGCATAAGTATGCATGGGCCCGAGTAGAAGTGCCGCGCGGTGTATTATTTAGAGAAACAAAGAGTCGAATCGCGCAGCAGGGATTTACGAAGGACAAAAGGCGTTCATCCTTCGGACGGTTCCGACAAGCCAATCCAATAGTTTCGCAGGGATAATTTATTATAGGAATGCTAACAGGCCGTCTCAGGTTCCAGGAGAAGTCGTCGTTGACTCGTCGCGGTGGACGATGATTCATGGGGGTTGCTTCAGGTTGCGTTGGATATCAAAACCTCAGGAGCCCCCAGACAGCAAGTTCCAAGCCACAGAGCCACGTGAGCAGGCGGAAGACCGGATTGCCTTCATTCTGCTCCACCAGATGAGATCATAGCCAAGCAAAGCAGCAAAGCAGCAAATACCGCCTGGTATCGGGCTAGTTGACGTCTTTGCTGTAAGACTACTCCGTAGACTGGAAGACTTGTCAGTGGTGGAGCGCATCGTAGCGCATTTACAAAAGGGAAATCATACGATCTCGGCTACGGTATTTCCTGCGCGTGGGCTTGGTGCTAGTCCCAAACAGGCCTAACCCATACGGGGACTTGCGCTGGCAAATACCACTAGTAATATTCTTTTTTTAACCTCTGATCTTTTTTGATATTGAAATAGTTCTAAAATGAATCTCAGGCAATTGAATGAAAAAATTCATATCTACTATTATTCTATTGTTGCCCAGTGATAATTAGACTGACTGACAGCAGCAAATGAAAAGTACTCCGGAAAACCATGAGCAATTATCCCATGGCCCAATTTTGTACCCTCGTGAGTTCCAACTGCATTTACTCAGGTCTCTCTCGATATTTCATTTGTTGTATTTACAGCGTGCATGCATATAGGATAGGATAGATCACTATCATCCAGTCCTCATCCTCACGTGCGGAACATTTCGGAGCTTCAGATACCAATTCATCATCATCATCATCGGGTCCTGCCGATGGCGCCTGATGAATCATTTTACGCTGTAAGGTTCAGGCATCGATCGATATATGAGGATTCTATTTGATGGACTTGTCCAGGTGCCTTTAATAGCCAGTGGTGTATGGCTCTTGACTTTGCTGGATCGTTATTGCACAGCCGCGATGTGAATCAAAGTTACCCAACAGTTCGTTCGGAATCTTTGAGCCCAGCGCTGGGTAAATGGAAACCTTTTCTCTCGCTGTGATGTCACTCTACCTACGTAGGGACTCGGCAGATATGAGCCACGGATTTTGGATACACTCCCATTGAAGCTCCTTTCTTTCGCCTATTATCAAATGTAATTGGACATGTGCCCCAGGCCAGAAGCCTGCAGCGACTTCCCCCACGGCCATGATATTTAGAGAAACCAAATTCAATCCTTTGAATCCTTGACTTTTAACGCCATGGGAGGGGATATGTGTGATAAGCACTCAGCTATTGCTTTTATTTTGTAGTCTATAGGTACCTGTTAAGAATGACACAACTTTTGTTTCGATTTAACATGTGAAGACGCCTATGCCCTACAGGCTACACAGTAGCTCTCGGCATCCATTGCCCCGTCACGGCTGCTCCTCCGCGCAAACTCGAGCAGGCCGCAGCTACCCGATTACCGAACTCTTAAAATCCATCCTCAATAGACTCCATAAACGCCATGGCCGTCCTAACACCTTCCTTCGCCGCCTCTGAGGGCGGCTCATACGGCCGTCGAGGTCTCAATTTCTCCTCCGCACCTTCAATCCCTGCCCTCTTCGCCGAGTAAATAGCAGCCGCATATTTAGTCGAGGCAATGCCCGATTTGCACGGCGACTCCGCCAGCGCCGCAATCCGATGAAGCCGCAAAGCCTCCGCCACCTCCCCCTTCTTATACAAGTTATATATCCTCGAAATCGTCTTGGGAAATACATTCGCAAACGCAGCAATGCACCCCGCAGACCCCACGCTGAGCCCCCCGATCAAGAAATCGGACTGCCCGCCGAAAATCGCAAAGGACTCCGGCGTCAGACATGCGGATAGCCGTGTGATCTTCCCCACGCTGGCACACGTGAGCTTTACCCCGACGATATTCTCGTTCTGCTTCGCGAGCGCCGCGATAAGTTCGGAATCCAGATCGACACCATTGCAGACGCCAGGGAAGTTATATATAAGCACAGGCAGCGGCGAGTTGGTAGCAATGTCCGTGAAAAACGACTTGATCACCGAAGGCGTGGTGGCCTTGCCGAAGTATGCGGGAGGCAGCACTAGGACGTAATTGGCCCCCGCAGCCGCTGCGTCGCTGATATGTTCGAGGACCTGGCGGGTGGAATGGGCACCGACGCCGGCCATGATGGGGAAATCGGGCCCGACGGCCTCGCGCGCGGCAGCGATGAGTTGTGCGCGCTCTTCGCGGGTTAGGAGGAAGGCTTCTGCATTCGTGCCTAGGATGACCAGGCCCGCGAGCCCTGACTTGGAGAGGTAGGCGTAGTATTTCTTTTGGCTGGGGAGGTCGAGGGTGTCGGTTACGGGGTCGAAGAAGGTCACGGCGGGGCACCAGACGCCGGACGGGGGAACTTTGGCGACCATTTGTATACTGTTGCTAGAGCTCTTCGAGGGAGAAATATGTTGTTAGGTATTGCTGTATTAAATAGTTGTAGCTTTAAAGGTGGGGTGGGATGTATTGTTGTTGACTGACTGCCGAAGAGGCGAATGTTGTATAACTATATAATCTTGCGGTGCGGGGTAAATTTGGGGAATCGGCCCGGTTCTTATAACTTGTCGGTCGAGAATGTATACAAGTCCACTCCTGGCGGCGACCCTCCACCGCCGCCTAAAACGCTACACAAGGTGCCGAAGGGGTGTGGGAAGGTTCATGATGGCCTGGTTCTGCCATAAATCTGACTGAACTACTAACTGGACAAGTTAAGGCTGCCGGCAGAGTCAGTATGTATTGTTACATTAACTTTGGATATAGAATCCATCCGCAGAAACTACTGTAGTAGACAACATGAACTGAAATCATTTTTCTATGATATCATGATCTAAATCCCCGAAAACGCTCTCAAACGAATACAGAGCAGTAACATATCCAGCATCCACTATCAACACTTACAACCTCTCGCAGCCGGGCTTATCCGCGCGCTAATTACTTACGTCTCGACTTCCCGCCGCTGTGTATAGTTAACTATATATCCTTGGCTTCAGGCGGTGGGCGTGTGCTGTGGAGTCTTCCTCCTGCTGTCTCCGCCGCCACCTGAACAACATCCCGAAATGTATGTACAGAGTACATGTCCTCCTATACACCGATGTATGTACATGTACTGTACATGTACATGTACTAACAATATCGAGGAGAGTGCCCGGGCAAGTACTCCCTGCGCTTCAGGCCGCCCTTCCTCAAAGCTATTTTACATGTGCCAGTTACTCCCAGAACCGTGATCACAGCCTATTTATTATCTAGCTATCCATCCAAGGTAGCTCTTGACCGACAGATCAGAAGACAACTGTTTTTATATTCTACCCGCAATTAGTTAAAAACGCAGAACTTTTTCTGCCTCCCTTTTGCGCAGATATTAAATCCATGACCCCATTCCATCAACCTATCTCCCCGCTCACATCACATCATTTAACAATTAGGACCCCCAGTCCCTTTCCCCAAGCAAGTCTTCCTATGGGCCTTCCAGTGTATGCGCTGACACTTTGACGAGCAATACCTCACCAAATGGCATTGCGAGCATGACAACAACGCCCGCCCATGTACAGATTTCCCAGCACCACACGCCTCACACTGATTCTGTCCCGCCTTCTTCTCCTTGCCCAGCGCATCCTTGGTGTCAAGATACGGCAGAGTGAACAAAAGCGGTATCAAACCGCGGATAGCATGCTTGGACACAGTTTCCCACTTCGGAAAGTCGCCAACGAAATTTGGCGGGAAGATCCCGTTCCCGCACGAGCAGAGTACCGGCTGGTGCAATTCGACGGAGAGCGGGATTCGAGACTTGGCCTTATACTCGCAGGTAGGCTTGTGCTTCCACTCCCTGCAGCGCTCGACAAACGCAGGCAGGAGCTTTTTCCATAATCTCAACTCATCCTCTTTAACGAGCATGGTGATCAATTCGTCCATGTCTAGCTTCGCGATGAAATCACGTATTGGCTTTTCCATATCCAACCGTAGCGGGACAATTGCAACGTCAAGAGCTAGGGTGTGGTTGGATATGTCCATGCGAACGGAGGAGCGAAAAAATAGTATATGCAGTCCAATATCCCCGCAGCTTATTCCAAATACCTTGCACTTCTCTCCCTTAACCCTAGCGAACGACATGTGCATGGCAAACAAAGTGTCTTTGAAGCATAATCTGCTGTCTTGATCGGGCTTTGGACGAGTGTTATCCAGATTACTGCGTACTTCACACTCCTTGCCGGAAAACATCGTCGAAACATGCGTAATCAGCCAACCAAAGTCTTCCATACGGTTGGTATCCAAAATAGGTAGTCGGTTTGGATTAAGGTATGGAATGTTCCAAGCCAAAGGTTCTCCTCCGGACAAGAAGACTGGGAACATGTAATCTGAGTAGCCCTGGCGGTCGGGTTTTTCGGCCCTGTGTGCAATTATCTCCACATAAGATGATTTTCTAGCAACTCGGATCGTGTTTTTCTTGTTCGGTTTGAGGACCGGAGCTGGAAAAGTAATCACAATCTCCGAAGCCTGTCCTTCTACAGGTACACGTAGGGAGCAGGGCGAAGGTTGGCTAACCACGATCTTATTCTGGCGCGTCAGGATTGCTTTTGCTTCTTTGGAGAGAAAATCGATACGAGCGGTGAAGCGATCAATTATTCTCTTTTTCTTATCGATATCAGCCGTTAGTGTGACATGATAGGAACTTGCGTGCATTTTCGCAGGGTATACTCTGTTGCTCCACAGTTGGGGTGGGCACGGCATGCCGGCGTGATTTGGGCGGTGCTTTGAAATATATACAGAGGATTGGTTTCCAAGGTCACTGGAAAAGACAACTAGTTCAGTCCCCAATGCGTCCTCAAACATCGAGGAGATACCAGGTGTGTGATAAAGCGACATCCCAACTGTCGTGCTCTCTGGCTGCGCGAGTAGTAGCGCTGAGGGGACGACGAAAGAGATGATAAGAGGACTCTTCCCTTTCCAGCCACTGTGATCCTTAGCAATAGTTACGGCAAAATGATCGCTATTCCGCGGCCCGGAGCAAATGGCTTGCCCAAATCCAAGTTGCACAACTGCGAACAGACTGTGCTGGCCCAGGCCCATCTGCTTTGACTGAACAAATCCGTTGATATATGGCTTTGCTAGTTTACCGCAACGCGTCTTGGTGAAAACCGAGAGCTTTGCCCTTGGAACTTTAACCGTGATAGACACCAAGTAAGGCATTTTCTTCCAAGCACGGAAATCATGGGAGCTTCGATCGTACTTGAATTCTTTGGTAAACAAGGGATCAGAATATACATCAAGAATATGGAGTTGAGTATAAAGTTCGTGGAGGAAATTCTGCCCGACTCCAAGAGCCTTATCTGCTTCAATCAGTGTGATCAAGGCCGAAATGGCCTTATTCCAGTCAACCATTACGCGCCCTTTAACAAATGCTAGAAACCGGACGAAACTCCCACGGTGGTAACGAATCATTTCACAACTTGGATGGGCCAAGACAAACTTCACGTCTTCGTTCATGAACATGTTCATGTAGATCCCGAACAGAACAACTGCTAAGCTGTCCGGATCGAACTTGATAAGTGAGGAACAGCTACTTCCTGGCGAATGTGACCAGTAGGGCCATTGATATTTCCACAATGTTCTGTTGTACACATTCCGCGTATTGACGCCATCCCCCATGGAACATTTGCGGAAATCATGCATCAACTGCTCCTCAGCATTTGCGACGGCTGAGGAATTTGTCCAGTATTGGACAGGGAAAACACCAAGTAGTATTGACACCGTCGGAAAATGTCCGGCAAAAAGGTCATTCAATAGTACGTCTACTTCGGGTACGTACTTGGCAAAGGACTCAGCATAGATCGTGGATGATTCTTTCTCGTACAGCAATGGGCCAGCGGCAATGAAGACGTTGATACCACCAAGAAAATCGATAAGGTTGGAGGTGTCAATAACGTCGAAGGCTAAAGGAGCCACACCATCTTCGAGCGCGTAATCCTCCCCATCTAGGGAGACAGTATCAAAACCATAGGACGTGCGGAACCACTTCGCAGAAGTTTCTCTAGTGGTGTCTAGATGCTGCAAGGTGTGACAAAAGGCAAGGGCATCACCAGCGAAGAAGCGCACGGTCACGGATTTGTGATCCCGTTTTAATGATTGACACCAGATATTGAATTGAAGACGAGCTGATTCAACTGCGTTTTGAGCATGAGCAAAAGCCACCTCCTTGCGGTAAAAATGGGATCCTGCATCCACTGGTGTGTAGGCGGTTACTAGGTGGAACCCAAGTAGTGGATCCGTGCCGGAATGGAGCAGAGCGTTGTCATTTTCCAAGGGTGCCAGTGTTGGGTTCGGGTGCACATTTAGAGCTTTGGGATCATTGGAAGTGCTCCCATTCTTCCAGTAGCGCGAGTGCAAACCGGGGAGATCTTTAAGGGCTTGAATTGCATTGGGGGCAGCAGCGCGGGCTCCACCCAAGTCTATACCGCTTCCCGCGGTTGCAACTTTGACATCAAGACAAGCTTGGATTGCCTTACGGAAACTAGCAAGGTAGTCGGCTTTGTCCCGGACAGATATATATGAATGCCAGATGTCTCTCACAAGAGCAAGAGTCTTTGAGTCGCAGAATCTCAGAAACCGCCCATACTCACTTTTGTGCCAATATTTGAGAGAGCTTGAGAAACGATGTAGCTTCTTGACTTGGGATTCAAGAAGGTTGTGCGACTTATCATCGATGAACAAATGATAGTAAATATTCCACAGCATTGAGGTATCCGCGCCTTCATTGGTATCCACGACGAGAGTAAGGAGAAGAACATTTCGGGCTATAAAAGGCTATGTTTAGCAGACAGACAAAGGCAAATTCAAGAGCAAAGCATAACTCACCAATAACTGCAGGTTGGATATCACAGCAAGTATAATCCAGCGGGCGAGGTTCTATCATCATGAGTGAATTGTGTCAGTGGTTATCATACAATAGTGTCATGTTGATAACAAACTAGAGATGGTTACTTGATGAACTATTCATAAAGCTAGTGAAGAGGATATTTCTAGCATCTCCGCATCCAAGCAACAGCAGACGTGCAGGATCGTCACCAGGGATATCCTGTGTCAAGCAGACAGCAGGAGTGTTGCCGATTGCATGGAAGAGAGAGAACTGATTCAGGGGTACTGGGGACGCCATTTATTAAACGCGCCTGTTACCGTATACACGAAGCAGATCAGAAAAGTCTCACGAAGGCCTATGGATTCGCGACAGGGCGGCAACATCAACTCCAGCATGACATGACAGTGGTTGGGAGAATGGTATGTATATCTTGCGTGGTGGAAGTCTGGTGTTGTGTTGTTGAAGCGGTAAACACAGTGAAATATGAGGCGCAACATGACAACGGAGCAACTCGCAGACAGACAGACAGACACACACACACACACACACACACACACACACACACACACACACACACACATCACACATGCCTTTGACTGTTGCCTGGGTCCTATCTGCGGAAGACATCGAAATTCTCAGGCGCGGTAGAAGCCCATTCTCCGACTGTGGTAATCCCACACACGGATATAACTGAATAACTCTTCATAATATTCGAGTCCGAAATACCTATTAACCTACCTCTCGAATTGCTCTACGCGAGAGCATGCATGCCGGTCCCCCCATAGCATAGTATGCTCGACGAGCCGAATGCTGATAGCCACGTCTCGCCGCGGGATGCGCAAGGCGATGATATCATGATATCATAGTAGTTATCAGCCGTGGCTATCGCTTTTAGCGAACTTAAGCGACCAAACAGTCCATCATAACATCATTAACTAACTATACAAAGCTAGTTCCTCGGCTAGTAACG